ATTGTCATGAAACACACACAAATAAATAAAATCAAAAACATAAACACATCCTTCATCAAACATCCGCTGCGACTACCTATACTTCCTGACACAAATGCATTGCGGATCCGGCCAAAAGATTATTGAATTGACTGCTGAGAGAAATGCAACACAGAAACAAAACAAAAACACACTCACCCGTCTCAAATTTCTCTCGGCCACCAACAAATCACACTGGAATGTTTATGATCCAAAGAAAGCGGCTCCTGACTGCGGCGGGGGATGCGACATAGACATAACACACTAACACACTAACACATATAAATGCAATGTACATACTATTTCCCGTAACCTTTCCGTACCGCACCTCGATCGAGACTGTCCGATCTATCCATCAGAACTCCCTTTTATACAGCTCAAATTGGTCAACGTCCTCTTGCTCACATACTTTGCCAAATACCATATGGCCGTCTCTTTTACTCGTACCATGTCACACCGAGACTGCACATAACAGAAATCCGTTAGGTTCAACGCAACACTTACACACAGAAACTCATATAAAGAAAGGAATGCAAAGGGAGGAATAAAAAGCAACGAGTGGCATTCATAACAAATTCTAAGTAAAAGTGAATTTCCAATTAAGTCAACGTCCTCTTGCTCACATACTTTGCCAAATAACATATGGCCGTCTCTTTTACTCCTACCATGTCACACCGAGACTGCACACAACAGAAATCCGTTAGGCTCAACGCATTACTTACACACAGAAACTCATATAAAAAAAGGAATGCAAAGGGAGGAATAAAGAGCAACGATTGGCATTCATAACAAATTCTAAGTAAAAGTGAATTTCCAAGTAAGTCAGCATTTCATATTAATGCTGATTTTAATAGCGTAATACCACAAAAACAAAACTAAAGATCCGACATATATATATATATATATATAAATATATATATATGTGTATTATTTATATTTTTAAAATTATTTAAAATAGTTTCCCTAATAATTATTCAATAAACCAGGTTTTTTTTTGACAACGCGAAGGTTCAAACTTTATATTTTATAGACGTCTTCTTAAGAAATTTTGATCAGCATTTTCTTGTTTTTTTTTTGCCTCTACGGTTAAAAAAAGTTAGAAACGATTAAATAAATAGTCCGAATATCTCCATCAAAAAAAGAAATATAGTTGTTTAAAAGAATATTTTGTGAAATTATTTATACAGTTTTTTTTAGGAAAATAACAGTGTTTAGCTCTTGTAAATGCGGAACGTTAAACCTGATTTTTGACTTATAGTTCTTCCAGAAAAATTTATAAGAAATCCACAAAAATTATGTTCTGCTCCTACAATTTTTGTTTACCTAAAACTTGTTAACATTATTATTGAAAAAAAAAGTGTTTTAAGTTTTAATATATACCAATCAGTAAGCAGTTTGGCCGTTTCACATAAAAAAAATTATGTGCTTATAATGAATAATAATTCACGAATATATCGACTTCGATATTTAAAAGTTTGCTCGTTACAATTTGAAATCAAACGTATTTTAAAAACGACTGGCAAATTACATCAACTTGGTCGATGTTTTTAAAACACGGGTTTAAATCATTGCTATTTCTCCTACCTTCGCGGCAAAAAAAACTTTTAAACAAAAAAGTGTGCGCTAGCCTGGATGGTTAACGACAGAAAAGATTAAAACACTTGGCAGAAGCATAATGCCTGCATATTCATATAATCCATTGTAAATAAATAACTTAAAAGTTGCGGTCTTCATAATCCAGCTTTTTATTTTTATCAAAATTTGAAATTTATTGATTATTCCAGGAGTCCCAGTTCAATCTCAAGCGATCGGTTGACAAAATGCAACTAAAAAATACTAGTATATTGTAAACAAGTCTCAGGTTAGGCTTTCTTCTTATTTGGCTTCTGTTGTGTGTTCTTATTAATATAAATAAATGCAATTAAAACCGCAATAAAATTATGTTAGATAGTGATATTTAAACTTGAACATGTTTTTAACACGAGCTTGTATCCTCTATTAATTAACGTATGAGAGTAATTTTGCAAGCAATCTTTTAAAGATAATTTGTAAGTCCACATCTAAAATTTTCGGTGCGTACAACAGGTTTCTACGTTGTGCTTCTAAATATCAGCTAAAATCAGCTGTAATTTTAAGTTTATAAAGCTTAAACGTTTTATGTTGTACCTTTGGAATCTTTTTTCAAATTCGTTTTTATTTAAGCTTTTAAAATGATTACAGGTCCAAGTATTCCTCTACTTTCGATACAAATTTCATTATAAAAACAATGATCCTTTGTGTTGCGTATGCTTTATCCTGGATGGCTAACGAGAGAAAAAATTAAAACACCTGGCAGAAGCATAATGCTTGTATATTCATATTATCCGTTGTCAACAAATAACTTATAAGTTGCGGGTTTCATAATCCAGCTTCTTATTTTTATCAAAAATCCGAAAATTGTTGATTATTTCAGGAGTCCCAGTTGAATCTCAAGCGATCGAAGACCAAATGCATTTAGAAAATACTAGTTTATTGTAAACAAGTCCCAGATAAATGGAAAATTCTTATTTACATAAATAAATGTAATTAAATCAGCAATAAAATTATGTTAGATAGTGATATTTAAACTTGAACATGTTCTTAACACGAGCTTGTATCCTCTATTAATTAACGTATGAGAGTAATTTTGCAAGCAATCTTTAAAAGATAATTCCTTAATCCACATCTAAAATTTTCGGTGCGTACAACAGGTTTCTTCCATTCAGTGAGTGTGCTACTAAATATCAGCTGTAATTTTAAGTTTATAAAGCTTAAACGTTTTATGTTGTACCTTTGGAATCTTTTTTAAATTCGTTTTTATTTAAGCTTTTAAAATGTTTACAGGTCCAAGTATTCCTCAACTTTCGATACAAATTTCATTATAAAAACATGAAACCTTTGTGTTGCGTATGCTTTATCCTGGATGGTTAACGAGAGAAAAAATTAAAACACCTGGCAGAAGCATAATGCTTGTTTATTCATATAATCCGTTGTAAACAAATAACTTATAAGTTGCGGGTTTCATAATCCAGCTTCTTATTTTTATCAAAAATCCGAAAATTGTTGATTATTTCAGGAGTCCCAGTTGAATCTCAAGCGATCGAAGACCAAATGCATTTAGAAAATACTAGTTTATTGTAAACAAGTCCCAGATAAATAAAAAAATTCTTATTTACATAAATAAATGTAATTAAATCAGCAATAAAATTATGTTAGATAGTGATATTTAAAGTTGAACATGTTCTTAACACGAGCTTGTATCCTCTATTAATTAACGTATGAGAGTAATTTTGCAAGCAATCTTTAAAAGATAATTCCTTAATCCACATCTAAAATTTTCGGTGCGTACAACAGGTTTCTTCCATTCAGTGAGTGTGCTACTAAATATCAGCTGTAATTTTAAGTTTATAAAGCTTAAACGTTTTATGTTGTACCTTTGGAATCTTTTTTAAATTCGTTTTTATTTAAGCTTTCAAAATGTTTACAGGTCCAAGTATTCCTCAACTTTCGATACAAATTTCATTATAAAAACATGAAACCTTTGTGTTGCGTATGCTTTATCCTGGATGGTTAACGAGAGAAAAAATTAAAACACCTGGCAGAAGCATAATGCTTGTTTATTCATATAATCCGTTGTAAACAAATAACTTATAAGTTGCGGGTTTCATAATCCAGCTTCTTATTTTTATCAAAAATCCGAAATTTATTGATTATTTCAGGAGTCCCAGTTGAATCTCAAGCGATCGAAGACCAAATGCATTTAGAAAATACTAGTTTATTGTAAACAAGTCTCAGGTTAGGATTTCTTATTTTTTGGCTTCTGTTGTGCACTGTATTTAAATGGTGTGCTTATTTTTTAAGCACTATCTAAACCAGATGTAAATAAAAATGTTTTCCTTTTTCAACTTGTAGTCTTTATGACCTGGTCCAAATCCATATTTAACATATTTCTGAAATTTTAAGAAAATACTTCAGTGGCAAAACAGTTTGTAAATGGAAAATTCTTATTTATATAAATAAATGCATTAAGATCCGCATAAAAATTATGTAAGATAGTGATATTTAAAGTTGAACATGTTTTTAACACGAGCTTGTATCCTATATTAATTACCGTATGAAAGTAATTTTGCAAGCAATCTTTTAAAGATAATTCCTTAATCCACATCTAAAATTTTCGGTGCGTACAACAGGTTTCTTCCTTTCAGTGTGTGTACTACTATATATCAGCTAAAATCAGCTGTAATTTTAAGTTTATAAATCATAAACGTTTTATGTTGTACCTCTTGGAATCTTTTTTCAAATTCGTTTTTATTTAAGCTTTTAAAATACTTACAGGTCCAAGTATTCCTTAACTTTCGATACGAATTTCATTATAAAAACATGAAAACTTTTGTGTTGTGTATTTGATTATTGAATAAATTTAATATAAAGATGTTTTTAATAATTTATAAAATCTTTTATAATTTTAGTCATCGTTGATAAGGCTTATTTTTTTCATGTTGTACTTTTTTAAACATGTTTATCAATTATTGTTGATAATACTTTTTAGATTCAGAATGTTTAAAAACTTAATGTTAACATAAGTGACCAATTTTCGGAAACCAAAAAAGTTAAAAAATAACACTTTAAAAAGTTGGATTCAAATATATACAAAAATAGTTAATATATGGAAAATATATTTTTTCTAAATTTTTACATGGTAATGTAACAAATTGGTCAGCCCTTAATCAACTTCAAAAGAATTATACGTTAAGAAAAATGTAAATTCTTTTAAATATTTGAAGACTCAAACAGATTGTAGATAATGGAAACTTAAAATTAATTTTAACTAAACATAACATGTAATGTGTAAAATGTTTTATAAAATGCAATAGTTGCCTGTGGTCCAATTGTTGCCACAAAAACCATGTATAAAGTCACTGTGAAACTACGTAAAACGCATCTTAATGCGTAATAAAAACAGTTGCGGTCGGAATAATAGCACTATGATTCCAATACAAGTAGACAAAAAGTAGATATTAAACAAGAAAAACGTTTGGGTTTTGCAGTTTAAATCTACTTTTCGCTTACTATGAGTAAAGAAAACAGACTAAACCTTTTATATTGGGTCAATTTTGCTAGTATTAAAGCCGCATTTGTTTGTCATTGTTAAAATTGGCTTTCTTCAGGCGTTGTGGTTTTCGGCGTTCTTAATTCGCTTTCGCCATTCGTTTTTTCGTGGGATATGCTTGTAATAACCGATTTTATTACTACGGAACTAGTGCTCGTTTCGGTCGTATTGCTGTTATATAATAAGGTAGTTAGTAGAATTGAGTATTTATATTTTCATTATAAAAACGAACCTTTTCAATGCCAGGTCACCTAAATTGGAAATATTAATATCCGGAATTTCGTCCATGTTAACTGTAGTAGTGGCTTTGTTTGTTTGCGTGCTAAGCACCGATAGGCGACCTACGTTCATGTCAAAATAGTTAGTAATATGTTAAACTTAAAAAAAATGTTTAACCGGGTTTATAAAAATGCAATGTATCTGCTTTTTATTGTCGTTTGGGGCGCATATCTAAAATCAAAAACAAAATAATTTGAATGCAAATAAAAAGTGGAGTGATGGGCAACTTTGCACAACGAAACAACGGACATATAACAGACAATCAAGCGGAAGCAAATACAATTAATATAATATGGCGGCGTTTACTCACCAACAGTCTCCTCTGTAGTCGTAGAACACAACGTGGTTGTCGTAAGATTTAAATGGTCACGGACGGAGTCAACGGTGATATCACCAATTGAACTGCTGATAGTATCGTTGCCGCGGTTGGGTGAGTTGCTATTGCTGATTCCATTTGTTAAATTAAGACTACTTCTTTCAACATTGCCCTCAACAAGTTTTGCGCGAATAGAAGCGGTTGGTGGTTCCGTAACTTCCAGTGAATTGGAAACTTCAGCGTTTTCGTCCGTTTCCTTATTGCTCTTTTCTTCATTTTCTTCCAGTGCGGATTCTTCGGTTTCCAAAGGTTCTACTTCAACTATGCCTGTGGGTTGAACTACTTTGGACGTGGCTAAGGCAATGCGCTGCAATTCCGAAGAGGACATCATATACAGAGCTTCGCCAGAGTTTGTAAAACCTAGCGACGAAATACCACTGTAAGAATAAAATGAGGTTTTAGTTTCATATTTGTTAAAATATTTACAGTATTTGGTGCTTACTTTATATCTTCCCGTCGGACAGCAGCGGCATTCAGCTGTCTTTTTAACTCAGGGACTGATAAGACCATTATATCGCCCATGTTGGTTAAGCAAATCAATGCAATTTCGTGATATTCATCTCCACGACCAGCAGCTGGGTTTGCACTAATATTTGCAGACCCATCTCCATCGACATGAGAACGCGTTGATTTAGTCGGGCTACCACCGTGCAGGCTTTGTAGTAACTCTGGCGGTATGCGACAACGGAACGATCCAAAGTGGATTCGACGAATTCGAGCACCTTCGTGAGCGGTAAGCTTATATTTATTTATTGGCTTTAATTGCGGAAGTGAAAACACTTTGAACTGTTCCTCAGATGCGATTAGAAGTCGATGCGGTGGACTGCCGTTTTCTCCGTCGTTTAACTGATCGACAGGGCTACCCGCCTGGTCAAATATTGAAATACCAACCACAGGAGCACGATGTTTTAATTGAATTTCTTTAGCAAGTTGGGCGGAAATGCGACGAGGAGTCTGTGGAGGAGCGTTGCCACTTGCCGATGGTACAGATGTTGCAGCGGTTTGTGCCGGGGGCAAATGCAAAAGGAAAACCGACACGGTACTAGCATTTGTTGCAGACCATAAAGTTGGCGATGTTATGTTGACTGAAAATTTAGAAAATAATATTTTTAGAAGAATTTATTACAAAGTTAAAACAAAAAATAAAAAAATAGAAAGAAAATTATTACACCCGTTACTCGTGGAGTAAAAGTGTATAATTGTAATCGTTAACAGTCCGACCCTATAAAGTATTTATATGCTTTATCAGGATCAATAGACAAGTCGACCTAACCATGGCCGTCTGTATGAACGTTGAGATCTCTGAAACTATAAAAGCTAGAGATTTGGAATTTTGCATACAGATTCTTGTATTTCCTACGCAGCTCAAGTTTATTTTAAAACGGAGCTTCGCCCACTCCACAAATGAAAGTTTGTACTGTCCCTCATAAGTGCTTAGGTCGTATCTATCCATAGACTCAAACATTTTCAAAATCGAGCTATTATTTTAAAAGTTATTGGCAATTCATAATTTGTTTATGTTAAAAAAATGGTAAAAAAGATTTAGAGTTGCACACAAAACTTATAGTTGATTAATATTTTCGCTGGCCTAAGGCGTTTTTGAAACTATAACGCGAGTGTAGCTTTGATAAAGGTGAGGGTGTTTTTTGAACTGCCAAAGCAGACGAACCTTAGAACATAAAACAAGCTCTCTTAAAATTTTATAAAATAAAACAATTGCCTTTAAAAATTAAGATACAAATCTTTTAGTGACTTTACGATTTAGCTGACATACATCCAAAGTATTATTTGAACGTTCATTTGTCATTAGCCTCTTTATATGCATTTTATTTGTAATCTCTAAAATGTTTGATAACGAAACACAAAGTGAGCTTACCGTTGGTAACATAAGTTTTGGCAAATAGTAAACATCGCACCATTGATCCCAGGCCGTCGTCAGCACATCGTGCCTCTATTTGTCTCTCAACTGGCCGTGCCTCCAGCTGCAAGGGTATCATTTTAAGTGAGTTTATATATAGAAACCAAGACAATCAATGTTTTATAAGTATGGTACTCTACTCACCGTTGTGGGCACCTGATTGCTGGGATTGTTCCGCGTCGAGCGACCCTTGCGAAGCTTTCTAAATGACTCTCGTAATGATTTTTTAAATGACTTTCGTCGTGACAGCTGCTCACCAGCTCCAGTGAGGTCATTTGGATTAAGTGTGCAGCGATGAAATACTGGAACAAAGTTTCTAAAGTCGAACAATACTAATCCGTGAGCAGTTCCACCGGATACAAGACCCCAATTTGCTTCAAGTGCCATGCATGTAATGCTGGCTGGAGGCAAAACCTGCAGCACTCCCGTTATATTTACGCCATTTACAGTTATTGGACTGGCATCACTTTCCAATAATTTTGCCCGCACGTTTAACTGATCGTGACCTTTCCACACAAACCCATCGCGGTCGCTGACCAAATTCATTGAGCAGTATTTTAAAGGAACCTTTTCGGGGGCGTCATTGAAGTCAGCTATAACAATTTGGCCAGCTGTGCCTCCAACAATCAGCTGTCCAGTCTTTGGACAGAGTGCTATTTTCTTCACTGCCAATCGAGGATCATCGGAGTAAGGATCAAAAAGACCTGCCTTTCGAAATGGGGGTTCTCCTTCATCAAGTTGTTCTGCACTGATATCTGCGGCTGCATCATCCCGGAAGTCATGTTCACTCCCAAAAACACTGCCCGTTTTAAAGTTATAAATTGGTTTAAGCAACACTCCAGTACAATCCCAAAATTTAACAGAACCATCTTCGTGCCCAGTTAACAGAATTTCATACAACTTCGTCGTGTCCTCTTCATCAGATTCTCCCGAGTCATCCGGAAGCGCACCGCCAGTGATAGGCCAGTCAATATTGCTGTAGTCAATGTCCTGTTCATCTCCCGCTCGTAAAATATTTTCATACACAGACTGTTTCACTTGAGAGGCAAGGTAATTGCAGGTAACAGCTGATGCATGGACCGAGTGCAGATAGGGAGCTTTAATTGCAGAAATATTGGGGTCATTAAGATCGTATGCGCAGAGTTCCTCTTCAAGTAGAACAATTAGCACTTCAGCGACATCACTGTTATCTTTGTAAGTAACAAAAAAGTCAATGACTTTAGACGTAAAGTCAAGACAAACTTTCTTTCCATTGTTAACGTGTACGGAAACGCAATTATGATCACCATATGCTGAACGTGGCATGCCTCCGGAAAAAACAATCACGTCGTTGTTTCTAAAAAAAAATACAAAATTAGCTTCATATTTGATCACTTTGTTTTTACTTATGTTTACCCATGTTTGCCTTTGTATAGACGATTTATGCTCTTGCAAGGATCAGGACCGTAAGGAACGTAGTTAACATTGCTTGGCGGCTCGGCGTTATCTATGCTCCAAGTGGCGTAAGAACCATCAGCGTGATACCAGCTAAATTCAGATCCTCCAAAATTCACTGAGAGACCAACGCTTTGTCCATGACCAGGGGCTATGTATGCTCGTTCTACGGAGGACGTTTCAAAATCCCACAAAACACATAGGCCACGGTTGTACGCTATGAGAAGCTTGTTAAGGGCGTTTGGAAGCTGGCGAATAGACTCAATTGCACCGGGGTTTAGCTTGTAAGCTGGTGGTACCTGCTCTAGGACCACGTCATGGTAAATTACTGGTTCTTTTATTGTGAATGAATGTAAGTCAAGTTGATAGATGTTGCCACCTTCAGTACCAATCCATAACAAATCTTTACTTAAAGAACAGCATAACGATGATACTTTCTTCAGTTTTCCGTCAAAGTGAAGTGTTTTAATTGGAAGCAATGTCGTTTCAAAAGGCTCCCACAGTATTAATTGATTGGCCGCCGTTAGCGAAAGTATGCGGCCAGTTCCATAAACCCATTCAAGTAATTGAACATTGAGCTCTGATGCAGAGTTGTTTACCAACGTATGCTGTCCATACAATTCAACTCCGGGTTGACCAAAAATCTTTATGGCACCTGTTTGCGTTCCAATCGCCATGAGTTTTGAGACAGGGTCATATGCAAGGGCCGAAGGCTTATGAGGGAAGCCATGCTGAGCGGTCTAAAAGAAAAATATGGTATTAGAGAACTTTAAGAACAAACGGTGATTTTTATAAAATGCTAGAATAACATAGTGATCTAAAAGAAATAATCGTTTGCAAATAACGACCACCATAATTCTTTTTTGGACGAAGCTTTCGCTTTTTACTACCAACCATGATAATTGTTAACCTAAATACTTTTTTCTGCCTTCTTATTACTTAACAGGAACGGACCTAACTTTGGCAGACCAAAGTTCCAATATCCATGCAGATTTTTTGAAAATCCCGTTAGCTCTCTGTGCAAATAATTGGCTTATAATCCTGTGGTCAGTAAGACAGATACATAAATGTCAGCTTTAGGATATAGTCAACTGACTTAAAATTAAGGAACATGGTTCTAATATTGGGACTATATTTTACATTTAGAGGATTAACATAGGACGGCGTAACTGTGTGTATCCAACCACACCCCACTACTTATTTTTTTTTGTCCGTCAATTGAGCTATAAATTTCAGTATGTGTCACTGCATTGCAGTGTACACAACAGAGTTTATATAACCTTGCAGAGGGTATTATAATTTCAGTCAGAAGTTTGCAACGTAGTTAAGGAGACATTTCTAACTTTATAAATCATATATATTCTTAATCAGATCCACTAATAGAGTCAATCTACACATATCCGTTTTTCATTTAGAAAAAAATTATAGCCAAACAACATCGGTTTAGTTCTTTAAGCCACAAGGTGGGCTGCCTTAACAACGGTCGAATAATTCAGCTGAATATTATGAAAGCTTGGATGTTTTTAAAATATTTAAGACTATTTCTACTCCTACATAATTTTTCACTTGCACAAACCTGCAGCTGAGAGTCTTCGTACGTCGTCAGAATCCTTAAGCGATCATGCTTTATCAGTTTTAGCTTGAGGGTACTGGTTTCGCATATTCAGAAGCGTCGATTTCGACGCAGAAGACAAGGAAAAGCCTGGTCCCCCAAAAAATTTAAGAGGTGTGTACGATTGAAAAATAGGCATCTTGAATGATCAATAATATTTTGAGTAATGAGGCTAAAGGAGCTTAAATTAAAATTTTAGATGGCTGTGAATTTTAAGTCCAGTTACAGGTGCATGATTATTTATTTTTTACCTTATAGAGTGTTTGTAATCTTATCAGTATTTACTTTCCTATCCACTTAAACAATCAACATATTTTGTTCCTTATGATATAGAGTTTTTCCTGAAGCCAAACCATTTACCCAGCCCATTAAACAAATAAAGTTAATCTTATCAACTACATTCCCTTCGTTGTACTGGGTGGCAACTATCTTTGGCCTGATTACATTGTGTGCTTGAGCTTGATGATACATACTTATGTGCAATGTACATAGATGTGAAGCTACAAAAGTGTTGATGACTAATTTAAAAATTACGAAAACAACAGGCCAAAAACTCAAAATTATTAAGAAAATGTTATTAAAATTCGTACCCTTTGTACCTATTAATGTAACCACAAGTGTATATGACAGCAAAAGTATAGTCGTCCGATTTTAAATAAAAACATTATATTAGAATTATACGATATTAACTTAATTGGTAATAATAATGATTTACACCATATATTAATAGCCTTCGCTCTTTTAGATTGTGGCCTACTTTGATAATTCACGCGGATTTCATATCTTTTTTAATTGCATAATTTATTATACAACTTTTTAAAATGTTATCTTTCTGGGCATATTTTACTTTATATACATTATGGCGGAAATGCTTCTTTTAGTGCATTACAAACTTCTGGCTAAATTAAAGCAAGGGCATAATAAGCAGTATGATGGCATAGAAACTTTTTCGATATGAAGTGATGAAATAGACAGTGGGCTTGCCTTGTGTGACCATTTAAAACATATTTATGAAAGTAGCCCTACTTGCTTAACATATTTCTTTAGATACTTTGTCAATTTAAACTTTTCGTTAGGCGGTATAAATATATTCAACCCAACTCTGTCAGAAGTTTGCAATAAATAAATTAAAAAAAAATATAATTTCGCTGTTTTTAAATTTTTGTTTTTTAAAATTACGTTTTCGTGTCATTAAAATCCTATGGAAACTATCGGAATAGCTTATGAAATAATTATAACTTCGTTGTTTTTTATACCCTTGCAGAGGGTATTATAATTTCAGTCAGAAGTTTGCAACGCAGTGAAGGAGACATTTCCGACCCTATAAAGTATATATATTCTTGATCAGCATCACTAGCAGAGTCGATCTAGCCATGTCCGTCTGTCCGTCCGTTTCTACACAAACTAGTCTCTCAGTTTTAAAGCTATCTGCATGAAACTTTCCCAAAAGTTATCATTCTATTGCAGGTAGTATATAAGTCGGAATGAGCCGAATCGGACGACTATAGCATATAGCTCCCATAGGAACTATCGGGAAAAATAAATAAAAAAATTATAACTTTGCAGTTTTTCATTTTTTTTTAGTTCTTCGACATATAATAAAGGTTTATTAATTCAGAATTTCGGTTTAAATTTCATCAAAATCGGACGACTATATCATATAGCTCCCATAGGAACAATCGGAAAAAATGAAAAAAAAAAATACAACTTAGCTGTTTTTTAATTTTTTTCTTAGTTTTTCGACATATAGTATTGGTTAATTATTTCAGAATTACGGTTTAAATTTCATCAAAATTGGACGAATATATCATATAGCTCCCATAGGAACAATCGGAAAAAATGGACAAAAATTATAACTTAGCTGTTTTAAAATTTTTTTCTTAGTTCTTCGACATATAGTATTGGGTAATTACTTCAGAATTACGGTTTAAATTTCATTAAAATCGGACGACTATGTCACATAGCTCCCATAGAAATAATAAAAATATATAAAATAACTATCAAATATTTGAGCTGCAAATCATCATAGCTTCAATGTTTTTCAACATATACGCAATTAAATCATAATTTTAATGTTTTCAGAAGTATTTAATTCTTGCAATAGCTGCAAGGGTATATGAACTTCGGCTTGCCGAAGTTTGCTTTCTTTCTTGTTTTCAGTTGACTTGACTACCTTTCGATACATAGTAATGGCTTATTAATTCAAAAATACGGTTTAAATTTATTTAAATTGGTTAACGATGTCATATGGCTGATAAAGCAAAGAATAATTTAGCAAAAAATCGTCATGGCTTTACTGTTGTTAAACATATGGTCAAACAAATTGAAATATTGGTTTTTTAAAGAATATTTAATGCTTGGAATAGCTGCAAGGCTATAGAAACTTCGGCTTGCCGAAGTTTGCTTCTCTCCTTGTTGACAGTGAATTCGCGTTCATATTTTACATATACACCTAAGATGATGTGTCCTTTTTTCTTAAAAAATAAATGTTGTAGTCAACTATTTTGCTAGTTTTTTGAGTACATTCTTTGGTTTCTTGAATAGGATTTACAATTATTTTCTTAGACTTTGGAGTTTTGGATTGTACTAAAGTTTAAGCTAAAAAATTAGAGAGAACATTTTAGCTATACAGAGTTTATCACCAATCATTTGTTTGTCACGTTATAGCTACAATTTTTAAACAAATAGTATATAAAACAAACATTTTTTAACCATTTTAAGTTTTACTAAAAAAGATTTTTATAAAAAGTAAATAAAAGTTTACCTATAATATAATCATGGGTGTATATGCATGCTACGATTCCCAAAAGATTTAATAACTTGTTTGGATGATAACAAAATTCATCAGCAAATACTGTCTGGTGTTATGTTAAGGTAGGTAAGCCATAAGTGTTATACATACCTTACGATAAGCAAAAAGGTCCTTTTGTAGGCGTTGTCTTTCCGCGCTGGGCTGCTGACCCTTTCCTCGAATAAACTTCAACATAATTTACAAACTTTTTTGTAGGGTTGGTCCGTCGAATGGATATAGGTTCAATAGTGTCCTTATTCAACTGAAACTAAAAATGATAAATAACGACCATTTAGTTTTTTAAGTTAATTCAAAAATTTCCTCGATTTCATGATAAGCTACAAATTGAGAACCTTTAACCTTCAAATAACTTGGGTTTAACATGTATGGATTTAGACCTTAGTTTGAGGGGTTGTGAATGTATTGAAAGACTGAGGTTTATCGAAAAGTTGAATTTATTTGAATCAATTTTTATACAAAACCTAATAATGGTAATTTTTTTAAAGAAACTAATTTCAGCCAAGTAAAAACCAAAGCAATGTCAGTGAAAACTCGGCCTACAAGACTTGTCAAACAAGTTATGTCGAGATATTGAATAAACGTTAGGAGAATCGTTTGTAGGCGGCTAAACCGTTATACAGCTTTGTACGTTTTTATACACGTATGTAAATTTCTAGGTAACTAAATACACTAGCTCACATACACCCTTACTGTTCACAAACATATATAGACACACAAGATCAAAGAACATTTTACATAAAAACAGAATAGATTTAAACTCCATTAAAACGTACAGTAATACCCTCTACATGATTATTGAAAAGAGAAGTACTCTCGCTCGCTACGAACTCTTGTCAATGTGCATGTATGTATGTATGTATGTATGTATTTCATGTTAAACTCGATATGCTGGGTTGCACATGAAGGTAGTTTTGCGCTAGCGTTCTAGTGTAGGCATCTGTGAGTAAGCAACTGAAAAATAAACGGCATATCAGCGATTTATGGTATAAGTCTGAGATATTTTTGACTGATAAAAAACACAAAAAATCCAGTGGACTGAAGCCAATATTTTGTTTGTGCATTTGCGCTAAGGGGTGACCTAATTTTGAACATTTACGTTCCTGATCGCAGTGATAGGCAAATATTGCAGTTTTATGCCGCTATCCGTTCATCTATACACACCTTCCCCAAAAATATGTATGTGGGTAGACGTATAAAATTAAAAAAGATATCAAGTAGCGGTACACCCGGGCGCCGACTATACCACACCCCGCACTCAGTTTAAAAACATTTTTCGGTGAACCCAATCGTTTGTCTATATTTTTAACATCGGGAGCGTAATGTAATTACTTTATTGGGTGTGAAACGCATATACCACCGGCTGTTATTATTGCACCAACTGATTTAACATTTTAATCTGCGAGTGCTGGGTATTACAAGAGACACCTACAGCAGCAAAATGACGACTAGACTGTTTGCGTGGCTGACTCACCGAGAACACGCAAAGATGCCCATTTGTATGTACACACTAAGTAGGGAGATACTAAAATTGTTTTTTTTTTTAATTATTCCGATCCACAGTGGGCGAAGATAGTTCTAACTTCAATTTTAGCCACTTACACCTATTTATTTGTCTCTTTGCGCAGTTAAGGCGGTGGCTTTCTGCTTGATTCTCTTTTTTGACACACCTACATAAATATGAATGTGTGTTGGGGACGCCCGCACTAATCACATTGGCCTTCTCTTGAAAAATTAAACAAGTATGACGAACACTGATAACAAGAGAACACGAATTTATACCGAGCATGCGAAGCTATGTACTGTGCACTTGTTTTGTTCGACAGGAACAATTTCTTCAGCAGAAAATACGACGCGCGTCATCATTTTCATTACAAACAAAGTCGGAGATCGCCGAGTGTGACCGTGGCCAATGCGTGATAAAACCACTATCGATATTTTAGTCACGTTTACGTTTTCCAACAACGGTCGGCCAGTGTGTGTAATAGTTTTCACAAATAAATAATAGACCAATTCCACTAAAACATAATTTCACATTGTCAAAAATAAAGTACAAGGTATTGATTTAAATTTTTAATGCATACCAAAAAACAAATAAGGTTTGTCGATTTTTCGAAATAAAAACATATCGGTTCGTCAGCTATGATAGCGAGCGGGAGGCAAATAACTGAAGGAAACTTTACGTCAGGGTCTTTTCTCACCCTGTCACTCAGATTGAAAACCAAAATTTCACAAAATTGCAAAGGGTTGCCAGCCGACTGAAATGAACTCTGGAAAACTTAACACAGGAAGTTAATAGACCAATCCACTGAAACATTCATATTTTCACTTTCTGTAAAAAAAAAGAGAATGTTTTGTCAGCCAGCTGATGAGAGAGAAGGAGAGGCAAATAACTGGAAGTCACTCAGATCAACAAAAATAATAAAACAAAATTGCATAGCGTTGCCAGTCGTCTGAAATAAACTCGGGATGGCCGTTTTTCACAACCTGGCGAAAATAATAAATAATGTAATCTTTAGATGTTGGAGTTGGCGGAGAAGAGTATGTTTCGGATATTATTATGGCTGGAAATTCTCAAAAAACACTCGGAAAAATGGTCTTCAGTAATGAGAATAAAACGGATTACAACATCGAATACTTAGCAATAGACCATATACATTCTGTATTACTATAGTAATGGGAAGCGTATACAAGAGCAGAATCGCCTTTCGGTCCGATTACAATTTAATATACAAGTTAAAAAACGTTTACCGAGTTGTAATGCAGCGAATTAAAAAATTCGAGTAAGCATTGATTAGCCTTTGTTATCAATTACTAAAAGTAATGTTTTTTCTTGGTACATATACAATATTAAGAATGTTTAGATATCAGTTGCAAGAAAGTATAAAGTTTTTTATGCCAAGAGCGTCAACTAAAAAAACGTTGATTTGGATTTTTCTATCTGTGCTTAGCACATGTATTTCTTATGGTAACGATGATACGGGAATTTACCGTTAATGCATATTCTTCCCCATATGAATAGCCCTTTAAACTATTACTAAATTAAAACAGCAAAATAATAATATGAATTATTTTTATTTATAGTTACTGTTATTAATATTTTGAGTTGATCTATTTTCTTATTTTTATAAATGCTTTTCTTACAGCTAATAATTTTTATCGAATATAGAGATCGTTCAGTCAAACTCCGAGTTTTACTTACTTAAAATAATCCGATACGCTAGACATGAAACGTTAAAAAGTTTTTTTAATATTCAGCTGATGGCTACGTCATGTAAGGATTTACCATTTCAGTGGAGTAATTTTGTTGTTGTATGCATTGGCCCTAAAATTAGTAATAATAATTAAATAAATGCAAATCAATATTAACAAGCAATGCTAACTTCGGCGTGCAGAAATGTATACTTGGGCAGATCGTTTCCATAAAGGTTATGCGAAACCAAAAATTTTTCAGCAAATTGTCTAATCTCCGCCCAAGAGTAAATACATATACGACTGCTTAAATTAAAATCCGCTTGCCAGATTATTAGAATAGAGACTTACTTAACAACGCCATGATTCTGAAGTGATGTAAGTGTAATAAAAGGAGTCAATCGCTCTATGAAACGTTCGTTGTTGCGCTCCAATTCCCGTTGGTAATCTTTTTGATCTGAAAGTATTAGACTGCGATTCTTTTTCAAAGCATCAGCACAACGTTTTGAAAACTCGCGAAAGCAAAGTCGAAGTTTGTTTTGGTGCTTTGTTGGGATGGTTGTTCCGTCGGACAAATTGGAAAGGAAAACACTAGCCATTTCCATAGGGCCTTGGTTGACGGTGGTTCCAATGCATCCCTGGAGCACCATTTGTAATATTTTGGGGTCAGCGGGCTCCTGATTCGTAGCAGCCGCCAACTCCAATGTTTTTTTTTGAATATCCTAATCAAAGATACTTTGTTATTCACTGCAAAGATTTTACAAATAAAACTTACTTCAATAGCCACTTCAATTGGCTCCAGTACTATTTGCTGTCGGCTTATTACCATAATTCGGGTTTTTACGTAGGGAAAGTGATTCGCAGCGGTCAAAATCGTTTTCCTTTTACATTGTTCGTGTAGCTCGCCATGTGCCCTACCATTCTTCGTGAAAGGTGTTGCATATATAAACCGTTCTAAGGTAACAAAAATAACATGTTAGAATAACTATCACATATCTACCAATTCTGTTCATACTAATGTTAAAATTCCGCTCAAAATATGTTTCCCGATGACGCATTTCATAAGTTTCAAAATAAGGCTCCACATAAGTAATTTGAATGTAAGCCTTATCGGGGTCCAAACTGTTGATGTCGACTGTATTGGAGTCCTTGATGATATGCACAGAATCCGGCCCAAAGCGTTCAGTATAAAAATTCTGTCGTGTATAAATGTTGAATGAATGTTAATTTAATTGCCAATGTTAAATTGCATACCTGAAGCCGACTGAATATTTCGGGCAATTTGGTCAAAGTCGGCTCTTTATAAATAAATTCCTGTTGGTCCAGGTCTCCGAATTTTCCGCCATAAAATCCAACCCGAAAGTATGTGCCAAAAACTCGTTTTCCCTGTGTATTAATATAATGATATGGTTTCCCTTTCGGATATTGACAGCTTTTTGTTTACCTGTAACTGTGCTATTCGATTAAATGCTTCCTGCAACTTGCCGTGCACTTTGCTTAGTTTTTGAAAGTCTCTATTGGCTTCGCAGATGGGAATCAAAATCTTATACACCTCGTTCATTGCTTCATACATGCCAGAAACTTGAAATGAACTTGAAGCTTCTTCGAGCAAAGCTTTTAATCCAGTTTCAGTAAAATGATTTCCCAAACAGATGCCATCCTCGCCGGGACTGAGCACGTCATCTGACACGGCCGACTCCAATAGTGTGTTGGGAGAAATGCGTTGAAAACTTACAGCTCCAACAGGTAAGTGTGTTTGAGACTCCAACATGCTTAGATATTCAGATACCAAAGAAGCGGCGTGTACGTAACACATAGCTGCTTCCGTATGATTCGCACGCTCACGGTGTTTCTTAGCCATGTTTTCCAACCAAGTCAACCGTAGATCAGGGTTATTTTGGTACCCTTTGGCAATACGATTCATGAGATCAAGCAACATTTCTGGGTCCTCTTGATACTCCTTCATCTTTACAGTATCTGACAGTATCATATGCAGATTGAATAGCAAATCTTGCACTTGCTCAGGAAAAGATGTATCCTGTAGGTCGGAATCTGATTCAGCATAAACTAGCACTGTTTTAAGCGCACGGCGTAGGGATTGTTCACTGAAAACAGAGCTTGTGCCAACTAGAGAGCTTAAAGACATTGTCACTTGCATCTTGACTCGGGCAAAGTTCTAAAGAATATATTCCCAATTAGTTATGTTAATTAACTTTAAAAAACAATACTTACATTTCCAATTTCAAAGTTTTGTCTCATTAACAAATAAAGTGATGCAGCTGCTTGTGATCGTATACCTGGTAATAAAGAACCACAATGCTTCAGTAATATTAAACACAAATCTGCACATATGTCCGTCTCGTCGTCGAATAATAAGTTTGGAAATTTAAAAATTAAAGCGCGCTGGGAGGCAAACAAGTTTTGCAGTGCAAGAGTAGACTGATTGCGGGATAGTGCATGAAGGAGAACTTTAAGCACAGTTCCAATGAGATTATGATAAAGGTTGACGGCAACGTGAACAATAATTTCAAGGGTGTCGAGGAGCACAAGGGAAACTTCAGTCGCCAAAGAGCCTTCAATAAAGTGACTTATTTCAACTTCGTGCTCATTCTTGCCGACACCGTCCACGTATTGTGAACGATAGGGCATTTGGTCCTTTCGCCAGCGTAATTTTTCTGTGGAGTTGCGATCTTTTCGGCGATTAATTAGATCATATCGTGCTGAGTTTGTTCCTCTAATACATTCTTCCAACTTTTCCTTTACATCAGTGGAGCCAGTTTTTCTAAAACTTTGTGTATGGGTTCGTTTAAGAGTGGGGACGTTTTTTTGTCCTGTATACTCAAACGTTTTCAGGCAAACATTTACCACTTGAAGCATTTGGTGCACTCTGTGGGGACTTAGATCCAAAAGCCAGCGATATAAAACATTGCGCTCCAAATTCTTTAACACCCAAAGAAAGCACACTAACAAATGGCGCGTGGTTTCCGAGCTTAGCGGGGATTTGTTTTTCACTTGCTCGTTTAAATAGGAGTAAGGACGGCTTCCTGATATGGCAAATGCCACTTCCGGATTTATGGTGGATGCTGTAATGGTTTGATGGGGGCCTTGATAATCCTCAAGTTGACCGATCTGCTGCAAACGGTCCTGATCAAGGCCGTGCTGATGCAACTGAGGGATGCTGTCCATTACTATAGACAGTAGCGGTATATACAATGCAGCCACCCTTGCGCGAGCTTCCGTATCGCTGTACCGAGTATCCAAGTCGTGAGACGTCATCAGGTTGCGAATGCATCGTATCGCCTTTCCGTGTAACTGGGTATTGGGCACCTCCATTACTGCAGCCAAATCGCTGAGAACAAGTCCGACCAAAAAATGTTGTTGAAGGAACTCCGGACTTAGGTCGGCGTGAAGAGCTCGTTCGAGAGATCCCTTTAAAACAAAAAAAAATCAGTAAGAATTTCTTCCAATGTTTTTAAACTTACGCATGATGTTTGACTGTTGCTTGATGTAGTGCTGGGCGTGGGGCTGCATGGCGCCGATACCATCGTGTATGAAGTCCCAAACGGTAAATTCAGCGCTACAAAGTGCTCATGACTACAAACAATTCTTAGGAAGTCTATTTTGTAGTTCATAAGATCCGGTATGGAAGCGTTTTTGGAAATCAGAACCTTGGTATACGTTTTGACCAGGCCGAAAACAAATCCACGATCCATGATGCTTA